CTTGTGCTCGACTGCACCAGATTGACCAGCTTCCCGAGCACGGCAAACTCCATCTTCAGCTTGACTGAGTAGATGAAACTCTTAAACGCTCTTTCCATCGTCCTCAGGCCCTTGTATTCCAGAGACAATAGGGCGATGTCCATGAAGATGATGACGGTGTTGATGGTCAAGAGTTCCCACATGACCCTCCGCGTGCCCTCTTTAGAGACCAAGTTCAGCAGCTGCACCGTCTTCCACAGGTAGATGCCCGAGATGATGAATTCTTGCACGCAAAACGCCGTCATTTGTATCTTTTCCATGTAAAAGAGAGCACGATCAAAGGCGCGCTGCTCTCCGCCGTACGCCTGCCCGTACTGGAAAACCGTGGTGAGGGTATGGAAGATGAGGGCGTCCGTGATGATCATCCACTTGATCCCGTTTAGGACCTGGTGATTGCGTAGAATGAGACCCAGACGTGAATACAGCACAAAGGATTGGCCGGTGATCATCATGACCCAACCGATGGTGCTGAACATCTGGGCGGCCCAGAAGACGAGGAACTCAAAATACTCGAGCAGGAACCCAAGGCAGTAAGGGAGGATGCCGACAGAGGCGACGATGAGCGCGGCAAAGTAGAGGCCGTGCCATTCTCGGAACGTGGTCAGGATGGTCAACAGGAGTTCGACGCAGTTGTACAGCGACAGGGTCATGCAGGTGACGACGATGATGGCTTCGGCCGTCCATTCATTGTGAAAATCCTGCGATGCCTCAGTTTGAGGTGATGACATTTTTCTCCCTTTGCACCGGGCACATGAATCGTGAGGCAGGAGGCTCGAGGAGAAGGGGATCGATGTCGCTGGGTTGACCCATTGCGCGATACGACTGCGATCAAAATGAATGAGAAGTCTAGATGGTGAGAAGTTAAAGGCGTCTGAAGAGACGTTACACGCATGTTTGACTGAGACGTTCACTGTACTCTTGTAACACTTCAAACTCGAAAGTGCTTCATGAAAGTAAGGCTGGTCAAGTAAGGCTGGCGGTCTCAATCTCCCCACAATTTCTACCACTGGCTTCTACTGACCGGTGAGGCGTAGTGGGCGGCGGGTGACTGGATGCCTGGAGCCTCCCGCTTGGTCTTACCCATTAAACGACTTGGGCAACCACTCACCGGAAAGCTCTCCAGTTGCACGCCTAAGCTAAGGACTTGGTAAGTAAGCAAGTACCTGCGTTTGTGGGTGATTCTGGGCGGGTGGCCTCGGCGGGTCGTGCCTTGCTTAACCGGACGAGTGCTCCTCCTTTCATCGTCAACGCAAAAGATGATATCTAGAACTTCTGAGAGTCAACCATCAAGAAGGACACGAGCCAACCGTCCAGTAAAGCGGACAACGTCCTTTCTCCCGATTCCTAATTCCTATCTACGACCTTCAGCCAATCGAGTCCCATCATCAGCCGCAGACTGGATGGCGACATAACCACCCTCACGTGCGGTTCTAGTAGCCCAGTCCTCTTTTCCCAATACTCAAAAAAAGCTCCCTGCGCCCACACGTTGTCTGTCTGCAACACTTACCTCAACAAAAAATGTCCATCCAGGACCGTTCTGAGCGGGATCGAGCGGGACACCTTGTCCGGGAATACTTTCAGGCATAGGAACAATCACCCACCTACTAGTAGAGGTTGTTGAACAGTCTGTCTGGTTGGTTGGCGCCATACGGCGGACATCTCGCACAACTCTTCCCAACTTGTCAAGCCCATGGGGGTGGACATTACCTTGTGGTCACTGCGGACTGGTTACATATGCACGAAGATATGACAAAGTCCGGTGCACACGACACGTACAACCAATCGTCACAATCTGAGAGAGAGCTTCACTCACCATGAGGTGGAGTCATTCATGCCTGCCGACGGTTCATTCGGACAGACATCACTGTAGACTGGCCCAGAGCAGATGCTGATGTTTAACAGGCTGCAGCCCATTTGACGACGGTGACGAGTTGATCATGCGATAAGAGCCTCTAGTAGGTTGATCCCTTTTCAAGACGGCTGAATCATACTGCGATGGGTCAAGGCGAGGATCTGCTTTCCCATCCCATTTTCCTGCCATCCAAAAGGTAGAATTGTAAGTAAAGATCCTGTTCGTATCCCGGAGATTGATCTTTCGCCGATCGGAACCTCGCGGCCCTGCGACGGATTCGTGGATATTCGATATGGCGGCTTTGTGCTTGCACGGGCACATATGCATTCGTAGAGACAAGTTGTCCGGCGTCAGCACAAAGTCCGGATGAATTGCACAACAGGGACATGATGTGAGAGACACGAGGCCGAGAACCACGACCGAGTATCAAACCCCCAAGCCAAGCCGTCAGCAACGCCGGGAATGTTCGGCTAGACTGGATCATGCACCCTGACGCGCCCGCGCCCGCGCCCTACGCTCGACGGTGGTCACGCTCTTGGGATAGTTCCTCTTTTGTCATGGCTTCATCTCATGGCTTTGTGGTACGTATGCGGCAAGTGTGGTTGTTCCGGAATAGTGTGCGGTTTGATGATTCAATCTTCGCCGAACGGAGATCAATCGGCAATGAGCACGTATCGTGACCTTTGAGATGGACGGGTCGAGATCTAGCTCGGACCTCGCTTCCATCTACGAGGCGAGATCAACTACTACTAGTACATGGGTACAGGTTACCTTTGAGGCTCTCTACTTGGGAGCGAACCCCTACAGGCCCGGTAAGCCTAAGAGTCGGCGCCTTATCCGCCCCAGCGTCGCGAGCTGACTGGATCCATGCTAAATCGGGCACTGCGGTGGATGGGATTCACACTATTATCTGGTGTCAGATCTCTATCTCTCTCCACGGAGGGTCACAAAGCGGCAAGTCCTTTTGCATAATTGTGTGGAGCTTCCCTGCTGCTTTTATCAATGTCGGAGGGGCTGAAAATTACGGCCCCTTGTACTTGATGTCTAGCTCGCTGCAGGGATATATTACCGGCAGAACCATAAGGCAGAGAACGTAGAATGCAGTATTCTTTCCTTTCCTAGGGCGAGGAGACGAGACTAGAAGCGTCGCGAGGAAACGACGCGGGTATTCCGCGGCCAGATGGAGAGAGGCTATTACATGTGGACGTAGGTAACGAGGCCGAGCACATACACCGTCGTTCGATAACTACTGGGGCACTCGACCAGGCTCCGGTCCGAGCATACATGCGTGGCACATGCGTGGCGCACGCGTAGACAGATGATCGGATGAGTCCTAACCAACCAGATAGAACTCGAGGATATCCAAGACGGGGAACCTTGAGCATTTGGTATATGTTTTCGTGGCTCAAGCGGACTTGACTCGGCGAGTACTCGTCAACCTTTTTACTCAGTATGTAACTGCTCCGTGTACTCTCCATGTCTCTCTATCTGTCCCGTTTGACCGACCAACCAACCAACCAACCAACCAACCAACCAGAGACCAACTAGTACCTCGTTCTCAACTCGGGCGACGAATGTACAGGGGTCCCCAACAGAAATCTTTGGAATATCGTGGTACCACATGGGTAAATATAAGTGCTTCATGAATGAGGCTGGTGAGGCTGACACCTTCCCAAAGAGGGAGGTCTACCTGATTCAGTCCTGACTTAAGTCGTGTGGAAGAGGGTTGGAGTGTCGGGAATTTGGGGGATCTATGCCCGATACGTGAATATACCAGACCTCCGTGATTGGTTCATCGAGTTGGATATTTACTTAGAGACTCAGCGTACGTTCGACGGGGTTTGCTGCCTGCCTACGTGCGAGTTGGTTGTATGTGCCATCGTGGGTACTGTAGGCGTGATGGTCGATGTGAACCAAAATCGAAATTGTCATTTGCCGTTATTTGTTGTTTCGTTGATTACCATCGAATGCCCCTCCCTTGGACCCTGAGTCCAAATTCTGACAGACTATTAGACAGTAGTCAATCAAAACATGTTCCTAGTCAAGCAAGTCTGGCAGTGCACAGCGACGGCAATGTTCTCTGCTCTTGGCTTACGTCACGGCATGAATGGGCTCTCGTGACTCTACTCATTCTTTGCCTCGAAAGCCTCTCATCTATACTCTTGCAAGATAGTGTCGATAGTGTCTGTTGATCATCTGTCTCTTTGGACGGGTTCATACCACCGATTCTAGTTCCTCGCACATCTTTTGAGGTAATCATCTACCAGTACATGCTAGTGATAAACTCTGCGGAATACAATGCCGACATCGTAATGGTAACCAACTGATATTGGTGACTGAACCAACTGAGTTTACTTTAACGGAATTTTGATCGTCGTCAGTCACGGTTGATCTTGGATCAGTGGATCCAACCAACATGATGCATCACCATCATCACTACCACCGCGTCTAATGAACCTTGAAGAGCTCAAGTTTTAACTCCCCAACCCTTGAAAGCACTGGCCGACTGAGTGCTCGACTTGTATGTACAATGCCATTGGTCTAAAAGAGAGAGAGATCCCTTACCACCCCCTTCCCTTACTATCCCATACCATCCATCCCTTGCTTCCCCTGCTATTATTTCCGAGCCACTATCCTGGGCTGGACATGATATCACGGTGCGGGACCACCTATCCATCTTGACCCGTACCCTTTCTTTCGTTGAAATGACCAAGTAATTAGTAGTGCAGGACTTGGTACAGCACAGCACAGCGCGACAGGCAGACAGAACAGGTAGTAACCAAGTAGCCAATATTAGTGCGCCAGGGACAACACCTGGGGTAAGAACTCCATGGCCCGTGACCCATGACCATACTCGTTGACCCTCGCCTCGCACACGTCCTTGGTACTTTGGTAGGATTTCTCAATTGACACGACCGTCGGTACTACTGAGTACATGAGGCCGTGAAAGGGATCAACAAGACACACTCCGCCGGTACCAAGCAAGTACCTACAAAGTAGTATCACTGATATCATCAAACATTCATTCCTCGCCCATTGCCTAGGTCAGTAATTTGGTACCTACCCAACCTGTGCGCACCAGATATTCACGTTGTTACCTGTGCGCCTGTCATGTCGAAACCGGGGGATACTCCCCCTCGAGACTCCTCTCCTCGTCGTAGACGTCGCGCGACTGTGCCCACAGCAGCCGTGCCGGCCGATCGCAGACGTCTGCCCACCACAGGAAGGGGCGCATGCGCTTTAGCACCGAATCATCACTCCCACTCCCACTCCCACCACCGCTTTTGCAAAGGACCAGGACCTCCCCATAATGCTCGGCCAGCTTCTCGATGTACCAGCCGCGGTGCCTGGTGAAGGACGCGGCGATCCCGCCGAGCGTGAGCACCCAGAGGAAAAACTCCGAGGGGGGACCGTACTCCTCGATGTCGAGGATGGGTAGGGTCCGCAGACACCGCCGCAGCTCGCCGGCCAGGCGCGGCTTGATCCCCGTGGCGGGACTGAGCGGGAAGAGGACCATGTCGCTGAAGATGTTGGCGGCGAGGCGGGTGATGTTGTTGAGCGTACCCGCTTTGACAAATTCCTCGTGCGTCAACGGCTTCAGGCAGAGGAGTTTGTTCTGCACGGCGTTGCGCTGCAGGATGATGTCGGACCATTCCGGCGGGTGGCTTCCCTTGCGGACGTGGTGGTCCAGGGCGACGACAAGGTCGCACATGAGCTGGAGGACGACCCGGAGGTCGTCGTCTAGTTTGAAGGGGCCAAACCCCGTGCCGAGCTGGGAACCGAGGTGTTCGGCCCTCGCGTCCAGCGAGTGCAGGCCAGCATCGACAAGACTCGTCACCGGTGTGGGCCAGACTTGACCGGGCCTCGTGCCCAGTATGGATGAGAAGTAAATGTCGGCTCTGGGGGGGAGGGTTAGTCTCTAACCGACAACCTACACCAAGAAATTTCAGGGGAACTTACAGCAAAAGCGTATCTCGGACACCGTACGTATCCACCGCTTCCAGACCCCCCTTCAGAGACACGAGCTGGGCAACCGCTTTGACGTGCGCTTCGACGACGTTCAGCAGACTGAAGAGATGGAGGCTCTGGGTCTTTGCGAGGGGAGAGACCGGATGAGGTTGTGGTGGGATGTGTTGTCGACGTGTGCCATTGACAGCGAGGATGATGACCGCCAAGATCATTCCGTCCGAGGGAGGCCCTTCCAGCGACTCGATCTCGTTTCGGGCGTGGTTGAGAGCCTCGCTCTGGTGGATCGACGGCGCCCGCACCGCCAGCTGCGACATGTCGTCCTCCTTCTGCCCTCTCAGGCACAGTAGCTGCTTGGTGGTGGCGAAGATGAAGGTGTGCAGCACGAGAGGCGACGCCATGACCAGCCGCATCCACGTCGCTCGGAACGGTATCACAATCTTTTCGAGATCGGTGGGGAGACATTGCGGCCAGGTGAAACTCAATGCTGTCGGCAGGACAATTTGTCGTGAGTAAAAAAAAACAACAAACTCCTTTTGGCTCTCCTTTTGGGGGGGGGGGGGGGGGGGGTTGCCCGTTTTCACACAAAACTTACCGTGATCCATGGCTTCATGCGCGTAGTGAGGAATGGTGTAGTTGGCAAAGGGATCCGTCCTTGCCGCGCTGAGGATCGTACATGGATTCGGGGGAGGACTCGTATCTTCGTCGCTAGTAGTACTGTTCTGTTTCTCCGCCGCGTCGTCTGAGGTGGGAGGAGGAGGAGGAGGAGGAGCAGGAGGAGGACATCTCTTTCCCAACGGAGGAATCGCTCGCCATCGGTGCTGGAGCCTCTGTTGGGCCCATGTTTTCTGCTTACTGCCCTCGCCCGATTAGGTCCGTAGAAAAACTCCCGCGGGGTATGGGGTATGGGATAGTTCTGTGCGTACCTTGGCCTCATGGCATCTGCTGGGCGGAAGCTCTGGCTTCCTCGACGTCCGTCATGGGCGACGATGGGTTCGACCCGGAGGCCAGCACGACAGGAGTGGAAGAACTGAATAACTCCTGGGGGGAATAGAATATGGTCAAATCTACTTGACAAGAAACCTTCTTCTCACGCTTGGGACAATGTGGCCTCCCAGACCGGTCTTGTGGCCCTATGCCCTGTGCTCGCTTTGTCAGGCCATCGCTAACAGAAAAAAAGCTTCCAGCTGGGCGACTCGAACAACCATTGTCTTGTTTTGTAGGGGGTGTCCAGGGTATCATCGCCCTCTATGCTCGGGCCGAGGACACGTCGTCGAATCACCTCATGGACAAGCCGCCCAGGTATCGAATCAAGGACCCCCCAAGCGGTGCGGTGATTCAGTCGTGACCAGTAGTAGTACATTTTCCTAGAGCCCTAGAGCCCTCGAGCCCAGCCCAGCAAACAGCACATGGCTGACAACCCCATGGACCAACCCACAGGCTGGGTGGGCAAGCAGATACCAATGACTAACCATAACATTCCCAACTGGGTTGGTCGGTGCTGCTGCCCTCAAGCGGAGGCCCAAAAGCAGCATCTGTAACGGCAAATCTGGCCGTTTCGAGGCCCCCTTTTTGGCCCCCCGAGAGAATCGACAAACCTGGGTTGCAGGGGGGGGGTGTTACTGGGAAGAGAAGCGAACCCATTTCTCGATCATGGATGGCCTCGAACGGGGGGCGAGCGAACAGAGTTGTTCGGACACCCATTGCCCTATCGACCTTTATCCCTTTGGCGTCAAATGCCTCTCGATTGGCCCTGGAGGCCCTTGCTTGGAGCCACCGAGGTTTGTTGACTAAGAAAGCCTCCGATAGGGTCTCGCATTACCACATGGCGGTGCGTGCGCCATTGTTGTCTGTGTCATCAGTACGAGGTACCTACCTAGCCGATCGCAAGGGACGACATGGTGTGAAGATGCGATCCCCGGAGTTGTTGACCATGACTTTGTTCGCAGCTGCAGACTCGCTTGCCCGTAAGCGTGCGCGCACAATAAACACATGACGGTCTCCAGGATCTCGCTGATTACAGCATGCGGTGTCGCATTCCCTTCTTTTTGTCGGTGACTCTCCTAGGCAGCTCCCCATGGCGTCTCTCCTTGCAGCTCTGGCCCCCAATGGGTCGCAATGTGGTGAGAAAAAAACCACAGCCCACAAAACAGCACCACACAGCACAGCACAGCAGAGCACAGCGCTACGCTACTCAGAACTTTCTCCCTCTAAGCGATCATGACCACCGCGCAGTGCAGTTCATGCTTCTACCCGCTCTGAATGACCTCTCCACAATAATAATGTACGAGCGTGTGTCACATCGGGGACTCGCAGGTCGCACGCAGTGTCAGCAAGAATAAGATCCGTCTCGCTATCAATGGGGACACGCGAGTGGCAGCGGCAGCGGAGGCGGATGCGGTGGCCGGGAAAAGAGTGGGAAGGACGGAACAATGGAGGCGGGAAGCTACATGACCAGAAACGCACAGACAGAGAGTTTGTTTTTGCCAGCGCCTATCAAGGGCGCAATGTCACACAGGGAAGAGGTAGATAAGACGTGACGGGGTGAGGTGAGTGACGGTCGGCGCAACGCTGGGGCATTCGCCCAGGACGAGCCACGGATCATGATCAAGGATACAGCAGGAACACACAAGTATATACTCAGGAGCGTATATTCTGAATATGTAACACCTGGACAGATCCCGGTCTCTACCTTCCAGACGGAAGCAGAGTGGTACATGTCGTCTACTTGCATCTCAGGGTAGATAGACACTACAACCTCGAGGTCAACATGAACAACACTCTCCTCCTCTTCCAACAAGGGACAGAGCACCTATCCAACGCATCCCCATTCCAAGACACATACACAACAAAGGATTGAATGTTGCCAAATGGCATCGGTAGAGTGGTCGGAAACATCAGTCCAGTAGATCCAGTTGTTGACATGTTTCGATATCGTGACCCAAATAGTCCCAACATTTCCCTCTTCTCTTGATTTGCAGTAGCGTGCATGGCACGACCATGTGAGAACCCGACTCTTCTATAAAAAGGAAATCCCACAACCTCTCCTCAACCTCATCATCCGGTTCGCCGATTGTTTAAGACAAAGTTGTCTTGAGGGTGGCAGAAGATCCCATGCCACCACAGCCTCCGCTAGGCGAGCCTTCAAATGTACCATAGTTGGCACCGGGTTGAGAGCCGTTCTCGCAGTTGAGGAGGAGATAGTCGAACATGCACACGTCTCCAGAAGAGCAGACAAAGACGCAAGTATCCATGTCAGTGGTGCATGATGGTCCCACAATGCTCATCGAGTGTCCGTTCATGTTGACCTCGCGGGAAACGTCGACGACGCCCCACTCACCAAAGGTGAACTCGCCCCAGGTGTTGCTGACTTGTCCGTTCACAATCTGAGTATCGGGGTAGATGGCAGTCCAAGCACCAGAAGCACCATCGGCGAACGAAACCCAGGTAGATGAATTGGAGGGAAGCGAGGCGGTGATGGTGGGTTGGACAGCGTTGATCCAGGAGCCTGCAACGCCCCAGATGACGAGAATCAGATCCTCGCCAGACTCGTTGACGAACTCATTCTGGTACGGGCCATCCTGTCCGAGCCAGGCATGCCCATTGGCGGTGTAGGAGTTGGCACCAAGCGAGGCCACACCCAAAGAGCTCAGTTTGGCAGCATCGGCATCAGACAGAGCTGCCGCACGTTTCCTGCAGTTGACAAGTGTCAGTCCATATACAGATCTGTGTCACCCGCGAGGATAGGCTTACTCGACGTGGTCGTGCCTGCGTTTGGCATGGTTGTGCGCATGCGAGTGCACACCAGAGACGGTGGCAGCATATGCCTGGCCAATGGCGAGGGTGGCCAGCACCAAGGAGGAAAATGTGCAGCGCATTGTGTCGTTGTCTGGTCCTGTACCGGCTTGACTTTGCCTGGGCTTCTTGAGGTCCGGTCAAGAAGAGGATTCGTGGTTTATGTGTGGAAAAGGAGTGGTAATCACTGGGATTCTGTGTCGATCTCAGATCGAGAGGCTGGTAAAGGAGTGTTTGTAGAAAGGGAAAGAGAGCGACGAAGCGAACGAGGCTTTCGCGTGAGAGAGTGAACGCGAGCTGTCTGCTGGCAGGGCTGGGGAGAAGGAGCGGACAACGTCTCGAGGGACGTCTGAGGCAATAATATAACAATCAAGCAAGCCAACACGCACTCTAGGCGGGAAAAAAGGAAGGAGAGCAACAAGAGGAGAACGACAAGGAAGAGACATGCAAGCAGAACGGGCTGCCACAACAGAGCCCACCGCCGCAGGGGACCACAGGGGGAGCTAGGAGATGGGAGGACCCAGCAAGGGAGAGCAGCATTTCCCAGCACCCAGCCAATGGACATGAATGATCCCCAGGAGATAGCCCCCGGCTGTGGCGCACCGGGGTCCAGATGGCCCCTGTCAGTTGCCCCGGTGGGCCTCATACTTGTCGCCCTTTAGGCTTTGAGTCCGGCTTCGTGAAACGCCCTAGCCTCACACTGACTCTGCCAATTTCCAGGCACTGGACGAATCGTGGCCATTGTTTCTCTCGCGTACCTGACCCAGCGCAGAGCTTATCCTCTCGCCTACGTCAGCCGGCGTCGTTGACCGGAGTCCCAACCTGGGGCTTTCATTTCGGACACAGACTGTCGATTCGATGAAAAGGCAGAGGCTTGCGCGCCCGAAACAGGCCCTGATCTCCAGATCTGAGTTCGACCGGGAGGCTGTCTGGCTGTCCAGCAACAAACACGTCAAAAATGCCGTGCAGAGCGCGATGGCCACCAAACAGTGTGTGAAGTTGTTCCAGGCTTGAGGCTGGCCGATTCCGAGTCTGGGCGGCAAGGTCAGAGCGGCCCTTACTCCCGACCCAGAACCAAAAGTGGCAACCCAAGAACGCCAATGGAACCCAAGAAGACTGACCCAGTGGTAGAGAAGCCTTGGTTGAGCTGGCTGGCACTTGACCACCAGCATGTACACACACATATGCATCCATGTGAAAGTGTTTCCCTCTGGAGGCGCACCCTGCTCACAAACTCGGCCAATAGGTTTCGGAAGCTTGAATTTGTTTACCAATAACCGGGATAAAAACCCTGTTTTCATGCGCAGGTCGTGTTCAGATACCTTGGTTCGGCATGCTCTTAGGACGTCACTTCGCAGCAAACAATCGGCCTACGAGTGGTGTTTGCTCTCTCATGTGGAACTCCGGAATGGCTGCATCTGCAAGACCAAGCGTGCAGAACCAGACAAGGCATTGGCATTGCGACTGAGGAAACCATGACCGCGCCGTCGTTGTGGATTTGGAAATCCAACTGCCGACCGCTCTCTTCTTTGACCCGCCTCACCTGCACTCAGCAGAAGTATCAGTTCCAGGGCCAATCATGACTTGCGCGGTCTCTTACCGAGCC